ACAAGGAATGATTCCTTTTTTGGCATTACTTCAAAGTACAATCGAGTGGTGGCTCTTTGACTTTCCTCACTCAGGGTGCTGATGATTTGTAAGAAATGTCCTTTATAAATTTGCCTTGCTTTGCCTTCACCATAAAAGTGATGGAAGTCACGTTATCCTCACTAAAGTGTTACATGAATGGATGGATCTTGAACAGAATGGATAAGTATTATGGGTCTGTCCCACCACCACACAGAGTTTGAGACTTTAAGTTGATTGACTGTTCATAGCATGTTTATGAGTAATTCACTGTCCATATAGTAAAGTGACATGCAAAGCAGCATTCATAAGTGATTCATAGCATTTTTAAGAGATGTTTACAAACCATGTGTATAAATAGTGATAGTGATTTACAATTAAATATCTACAATTATTTTCTTTACCTTTGCAGCAAGACCCAATGACTGTGAAAAGGAGTCAATAAACACCACAAGTAGGAAGGTCCTTTTTTTTTATTGGCAAGACCAACAGGCACTTAAACATGCTGCTCAAAGTCAAATCAGGAAACCACAAACTCTTCTGAACATGGAACTGCAAAATACAGATGTGTTCAATAAAATCTTCAACTCTTTTCTAAAATGAAAAATAAAACACACCACCTCATGTGGCCATTACTTAAGGGTATTGCCTTCACTTTGCTCCTTTTCTTCTTAGACTGAAATTATTTTAAATTCTCTGAAAAACAAAACAAAAATATGAAGAAAATAAACAAAACGGCACAAGTCACTGCAAGAGTCTGAAGATATCATGATACTGGCTCTGCTGCTGGCTGTCTGTCCTCTTCTGGCTATACAAAGATCAAACATGAGCAGTCAGATGTGTGGAACTCTACACAGGATGAGCCTATTTAAACTGAAAGCACATGAACGTTATGTTAGTGGGCTAGACAGACTGTCATAGCAGAGGTATGATATATAACTAGCAGTACAGCAGTTCAATTAGCTAGCTGATCAGTAACTGTAGCCAAGAAACTTTGCTAACTAGCTAGCAGGCTAACGCTACCTTACATTAGCTATTAAAATGCATTAAGCTAACGTTCATGTTAATCTCACCTAGTTAGCTAACTAACTAAGTTGCATGATTCAGTTAAGCCCCAAAGATTAATAGACCTTATGCGGGTCTTGATAACAACATTCTTTTTTTCTAACTTAAATAACTGATACTGATTTAACTTAGCGCACTGTTTGTAACGGTGCCAGTCGAGCTGAAGTAGTTAGTGGCCTTAACGAGCATCACTTATGACGCGCAGCAGTGATGCGGAGTGATACGTTAAGCTAGTCCCAAATGCAAGGTGCACGTTTGGCTAGTGACGTGGTCTACACCAGGGGTCGGCGAAGTGTCAACAAAAATCATTTTACTATCCTGGCTGTAATGTGTCTCAGTATGTGCTAATGTGCTAGTATAGGCTAAAAGTATAGAAACGAAAGACTTACTTTGCTCTGCTTTAACCTTTAGCTCAGCTATAGCCGCGTGTCTCGCATCTCCACCACGAAACTTTGTCGAAAGGTAAAATAATTTTGTAAAAAAGTAAAATAATTCTTGTAAAATGTCTCTCAAAGTTCGTTTTTTACGAGGCTGAAATCAGCTTCTCGTTCGCCAGCTTGTTTTTCGAATTTACCCGTTCCACCTTAAATGCTGCAGCAGTTACATTCTGGCACCTCAGGCGCCATTTAAGGTGGAACGGGTAAATTCGAAAAACAAGCTGGCGAACGAGAAGCTGATTTCAGCCTCGTAAAAAACGAACTTTGAGAGACATTTTACAAGAATTATTTTACTTTTTTACAAAATTATTTTACCTTTCGACAAAGTTTCGTGGTGGAGATGCGAGACACGCGGCTATAGCTGAGCTAAAGGTTAAAGCAGAGCAAAGTAAGTCTTTCGTTTCTATACTTTTAGCCTATACTAGCACATTAGCACATACTGAGACACATTACAGCCAGGATAGTAAAATGATTTTTGTTGACACTTCGCCGACCCCTGGTGTAGACCACGTCACTAGCCAAACGTGCACCTTGCATTTGGGACTAGCTTAACGTATCACTCCGCATCACTGCTGCGCGTCATAAGTGATGCTCGTTAAGGCCACTAACTACTTCAGCTCGACTGGCACCGTTACAAACAGTGCGCTAAGTTAAATCAGTATCAGTTATTTAAGTTAGAAAAAAAGAATGTTGTTATCAAGACCCGCATAAGGTCTATTAATCTTTGGGGCTTAACTGAATCATGCAACTTAGTTAGTTAGCTAACTAGGTGAGATTAACATGAACGTTAGCTTAATGCATTCTAATAGCTAATGTAAGGTAGCGTTAGCCTGCTAGCTAGTTAGCAAAGTTTCTTGGCTACAGTTACTGATCAGCTAGCTAATTGAACTGCTGTACTGCTAGTTATATATCATACCTCTGCTATGACAGTCTGTCTAGCCCACTAACATAACGTTCATGTGCTTTCAGTATAAATAGGCTCATCCTGTGTAGAGTTCCACACATCTGACTGCTCATGTTTGATCTTTGTATAGCCAGAAGAGGACAGACAGCCAGCAGCAGAGCCAGTATCATGATATCTTCAGACTCTTGCAGTGACTTGTGCCGTTTTGTTTATTTTCTTCATATTTTTGTTTTGTTTTTCAGAGAATTTAAAATAATTTCAGTCTAAGAAGAAAAGGAGCAAAGTGAAGGCAATACCCTTAAGTAATGGCCACATGAGGTGGTGTGTTTTATTTTTCATTTTAGAAAAGAGTTGAAGATTTTATTGAACACATCTGTATTTTGCAGTTCCATGTTCAGAAGAGTTTGTGGTTTCCTGATTTGACTTTGAGCAGCATGTTTAAGTGCCTGTTGGTCTTGCCAATAAAAAAAAAGGACCTTCCTACTTGTGGTGTTTATTGACTCCTTTTCACAGTCATTGGGTCTTGCTGCAAAGGTAAAGAAAATAATTGTAGATATTTAATTGTAAATCACTATCACTATTTATGCACATGGTCTGTAAACATCTCTTAAAAATGCTATGAATCACTTATGAATGTTGCTTTGCATGTCACTTTACTATATGGTATATTAACAGCTTCTTAAAATGTTATGAATCACGTATGAATGTTGTCTTGCATGTCACTTTACTATATGGACAGTGAATTACTCATAAATATGCTATGAACAGTCAATCAACTAGTCAATCAACAAGTCTCAAACTCTGTGTGGTGGTGGGACAGGCCCATAATACTTATCCATTCTGTTCAAGATCCATCCATTCATGTAACACTTTAGTGAGGATAACGTGGCTTCCATCACTTTTATGGTGAAGGCAAAGCAAGGCAAATTTATAAAGGACATTTCTTACAAATCATCAGCACCCTGAGTGAGGAAAGTCAAAGAGCCACCACTCGATTGTACTTTGAAGTAATGCCAAAAAAGGAATCATTCCTTGTGATAACAGTGCTTGTCACATTTAACCTCAGTTACACAGGATAACCAATGCACAGTTATACTTGTGCCTTCTCCAAAACCATAAGTGAGGAAGAACATCACTAAAAATAAAACCTCCACAGTAATTGGGATAACAGTGTTAGCATTTACCCCAAGAAAGTTCAACTTGGTTTAAGTAACATTTTCACAATTATGTATAGAGTGTTGAATGAACAGTACATTTTATATATGAATAATTAGCGTAAAAAGCAGAAAGAATAGCATATTGCAAAATACAAATGCTTGAGAAAAAAAAAAAAGTTGAAAGTCTAGGCAAAAAGTGTCAAAACACTTTCTGTCCAAAGGGATAAAGCCAGGTCATTTTATGCTGACAGTCCAGAAACGAGGAGTTTCACTGAAAATAATAAATAAAATGAGGACTTTTATTTTGAAAAACATCTTTCAGTAAAATGACATAGTAGTCCATATTAATATCATGTAAAGCGTATATTTTATGAATGTTGATTTAAGCATTCATGAACATGTTATGAAGTGTTTATGTAAGGTGATATGAATGTGTTATGTAGACACCCTTCAAAGAAAGCGTTACCGTTATTTTTGTCAGTGTTGTAATATTTTCCATACATTTTAAAATAAATGTGTTTTAAAATATATTCGGGTTAATATGGTTAAATATTCTGAAATACATTTTAGCGTTTGGAATATATTTCAAATATATAAAAATACAGTCATGTATGTTTTTCCATTTGGCTAAAACCTCAGGAGCTGATCGATTTAATAGTTCTGCTGAAAAAAATACATAGAAACCATTAAGTGTGTCTGTTGGTTCCTGATGGTTTTGTAATGTGTTTTGTCTTTTTTAATGTGTTGATATCACAGTGTAAAGGATCCTAATGGTGTAGCAGGCGGCCAGTGGCTGATTCTAAATGCATTTGAAGGTTTTCTAATGGGATTTAAAGATGTTTCACGGGAAACTAGTGGTCTGTAATAGAAACCATTAAGCCAATTCCCATTAGAAAGGTTTTAATCCTAATGTTTTCTAATGGTTTCTTCCTTTTCCAGCAGGGTGGGAGATGATTCCTCTTTTGAGACATGAGACTCGTGAATGTAGTGATTCACCGTTTAACACAATATTTAAACATGAAAACCTTTAATAGCCATAAAAGCAACAGACTCACAAAATGGAAAGTGACATCCTGACTTCCTGTAAACATAAACATATAAACATTTTAATAACTCTTTGAACAAACTCCATGGTGTAATGTCCCAAACGCTTAATGCAGTTATAGTTATTACAATTATTATAGTGATTTTATATCCACTAAATACATTTGATTTGAGCAGTAAAGACAAATGAATTGAAATGAAAGGCACACAGTACTGCACTGATTACATACTGACTCAGCTTAAGTGTTTATAAACACTCAGAAGACATCAAATAGCATCATTTCCTGAATGAACGCACTAATAATCAGTTCTATTCTGAATGCACTTCCAGTAAAATGAGTTTCCCTCTTGAACAACAAAGAGTCCACAGGCTGATCTGATCTCAGAACAGAAAAGTACGTCATGCCTGTAGGACAGTTTTCTCTGTAGGGCAGCAAAAGGGGTTTGATGGTGCTGTTCTGACCCGGTCCAGCTTTGAGACACAACGGACTGAGTAAATGGTGGATGTATAACAGCTACGGCTAATGGTGCATTAAACGGGACAAGGAAAAGAAAATGGACACCGGATGAGTGAAGGTGAAAAGTATATTATAAGTTCTGAACAAAGACAAACACCAGTGTTGACCACAGGTTGGCCATTGCTGAAAATAATCAACAAAACCCTAAACTAGCTATTTTATAACCTACTAACTGACTCAGCCAAAGAAACAGGAAACAAAAGACAGTTTAATTCACCACACAGCAGGTATACAAACCCTACAGCTGGTGATACCATATATACCAAACACACAAAAGATGGACTAATATGGAGACTAATCCATGTTAATGTTGTGGGACTAATAAAGGACTATCTTACCTATCTTATCAATCTTATCTATATATATACATATATATATATATAGATAAGAAGGCGAGGACAGCTGCACATGGACACAGAGACAAATCTGAGCGCACCGGGTCATTCTACACGGTTCTGGTTTCCAGAACATTTCTCTGCATAGTCGTTCGCCCAGAATACAATCTGAGTTAAAGCGTCCAGAATCAGACAGTTTATATGCTCGTTCAGCTGATTCTGCTCGTGGTAGGTCTCCACCGGGAAGATGCAGTTCATCGGGACGCCGAGTCTGTTACTGCACTCCTGCATCTGCACACACACACACACACACACACACACACACACACACAGACACACACAGCGTCAGGTAAATGTTTACTTCGGGTCTCCATGTTATTGTAGGAAAAGAAAAGGAGTTTTTGGGGATAACCTATCAAAGTGACCCACTTTCTCCTTGATCTTCTTGCTTTGATACACCTTGCTCATATCATCTTTTGTCATTTTGCACACCTTGTCCACTCTGGTCATGAAAACCATCTGAGGAATTCCTGCAGGACAGGAAGGAGACAAACATGGAGATCAAAGATATACAACAAAGACTTAATCACTTTTTCACTGAAGGCTGTGAGTTACAGTGCTTTTCTCACAGTTAAGGCTGGTTGTTGGTCACAATGTGAAGGTGAGTTTAGTCCCTGTACATTCCTGCTTTAATCAGTACGATACAGTATGACAGCAAGAAGGGCCTGGGTTCGATTCCCCGGCCGGGCGACCGGGGCCCTGTGTGGAATTTGCAGGTTCTCCCTGTGTCTGTGTGGGTTTTCTCCCACAGTCCAAAGACATGCAGTCATGGCCCTAGGTGTGAGTGTGTGGGTGTGTGTCTGATCTGTGATAGACTGTCAGGATGTCCAGTGTGTTTACTGCCGTCTGGCCAGTGAGTGCTGGGATAGGCTTCAGCATGACCCAGGAGGATAAGTGGCTTATATATACATATTTTTTATTGTAGGAAGTAAATGACAACATAGCATACAACAACCAACTTCCCGGGGGTGTACTTATTAAATAAATCATAACCAATACATACTTTCAAAGTCCTTTTATTTTCTTGTTTTTATTTTTTTTAAAACACTGCCATAATCCTGAATCTCATGGAGGAAATGTGTAAAGTTCAGCTCATATTTAGACCACCTCTTCTAGCAGCTTAGATAATGTGTGTGTGTCTGTGTGTGTGTGTGAATGCATGTGTGTCTGTGTGTGTGTGTGTGTGAATGCATGTGTGTCTGTGTGTGTGTGGGTAACAATCAGTTGATTTGCCAGCTAGAAGTCTTCATAGCACCAAACAAAACTGCATTCAGGCTCTTGTTGCTGTTAGATCATCATATTATTCCATGATGATCATGATTGAATTGAATTGATGATTAATGATTAAAAATAATAATAATAACAACAGTAGATTCCTATTTAAACTGTATGTAGGAGTTCCCAGTCCTGGTCCTGGAGCTCTACCACCCAGCAGAGTTTAGCTCCACCACCAATGTCAGAGTCCCTATTCAGGGATAAAGGCCTTCAGGAGCCCTGAGTGTTACAGCCCTCTAGATCAACCGCAGGCGTTCTTGACTCATTACCCTCTAGTTTACTTCTAGAATTATTATTACCAGTGATGAGGAGCCTTCACTAAATACAGGAAGATTCACTGGAAAGAGGCCCTGAATATTCTGTAATAACTCTCTCTAGGATGAATCAATCTGAACGAAACAACGTGCAATGAGCTCCTCAGTATGTGAAGCTTTGAACAAGCTGGGATGCCCCTGCGTCGGAGCAATGAGGTAGGCGCTGGACGGCCGTTGCGACGTTTGCAACTTCCGGGTGCAGACCCCCGTACCCCTTCGTGTGTCTGTCAGAAAACGGAGATCACTTCCAGAATCGCATGTAATGCAATCGATTACACACACGTCAAGATATGTAGCGTATTTTTGGTACAGATTGCTTCATCCTAACGGGAGTTACAGCAGAATATTCGGGGCCTCTTTCCAGTGAATCTCCCTGTATAATTAGCTCATCAATCAGTCTGGCTGCCCCTTCGCTCTTTTAAGATTGTCAGTCCATTGCTTGAGAAACTGCACCGTGTTCCCTGTGTCTTTGTTCTATGCCTTATTGTGCAAAACAGTGTGAGTTTTTTTATAGATTAATAGCTGTAACTGATTCTGTCTGATTCTGTCTGATTCTGAACAGGCATACGGCTAACAAGCTAACAGCCGTCTCCAATAATACAGAGGACAGATCTTCTCTGAAGTGGTCGCTATGACAGCTTGTTGTTAAACTTGCCCCTTGAAGCTTTTTGCCTTCTTGTAAGTGTTGAATCAAACGAGTGAACTCACCTAATTCAGTAGCTGCTTTTCTGATGCACTTCATTTTCTCGATGACCGCGTTTTCCATCAGGGTGATTTTGTCTGCTGGTAAAACACTGACCAGGCAGTGAATCCTGTCGTTCAGGGTCGGAGCGGTGATGTAATACCTGTTGTCTTCAGTTATTGGATAAGCCTGGAACTGAACGTGAGGGGAGAAGAAAGAGATTCTGTGCAAGTTTATGAAGTTCTTAATGAAAGAATATCTCCTTCAGATTAAGACTGATTGATTATGGATCGAGTGTGTTTGGTGGTCTCACTTTGTAGTTGTTCGGTATGTGGCCTTTTAAAGCTTTGATGATGTCATCAGTGTGAGCCCCTCTTGTTTGTCCCTCTTCAAGACCCATTACATCGTAGAAGGCGAACGGTAAACGTCCAGAGCGCTCGCTTCCAATGGTGAACTTCTCGTACTGGAAATAAACCAGTTTAGTAAACAAACAGTAAACAAACAGCAAATAAACAAGAAATAAAACAGTTTAGTTCATTAATGACACTCGTCTGTGGCAGAAATAACTGAAGAGAACATTAAAGAGATGTGTAAATTAGATAATAAGAGAAGAGACTCCTTTTAGGAATTCTCAGTGTCACAGCAGCAAAGGGAGAGCAGGGCACTCAAGAAAAGAAAAATAAGTAACAAGAAGAGAATCAACTTAATTAATTACTTAACAAGGTTTTACAGTTTGTTACTTTATAGACAATATATATATAATGCTAAAGGTAAAAAATAAGATATAAATATAAATATAAAATCTATCCTTCACATAAATTAACAATATAAAGGATTATAAATAAATGAAAGCTAAAATATTTACACTGTAAGGATATTTTACCTGAATTTCACATACAGTTTTGTACATGAGGTACTGATTTCTGTTACACATGGGATGGTGAGGAGTTAATAATGTAAACATTATAAATAGAAAAACAAAAATCTTTACGCTATAAACTCAATTGTTTTGAGTTTATTGCCGTCTAAAGTGTTAAAAAATAAAAAAAACACTTCTCACTTACAATCGTTTATCGATTTTCCTAATTACTGTGTAACGATGTAGGCTTGATTCCATACAATGCGAGTCTTGTGCTAGGTTGGAGTTAGCGCTAATGCTAAACAGGTTGTTCTGTTACTGTAATTAATCTCCAGCTGTTCACTGGGAGACGACAGTTTAGACTCTTCAGTGATTTCTTTCGCTCCACTGTCTAACTGATGAAACTGATTGTCCAATATGGCTTTCAGTGTGTTTTCCACTGAGAACCAGAAGATATTTTAAAAGTAATTTACATTCATCCAGATTTGGCATAAGAAGGTACCTGTGAAATAATACAAGTGGGAAACTACAGAACTCAACCTCATAAAAATATATTCTCAAAACATTTATCACTGTGACAGACTGTCCACCAGGGGGCCCTAAAGACAATGTGAATGCTGCTCTTGTTGCGAAGCAGACATGTTGGTTAAGACTGAAATTTCAGTGTCATGTGACTAAAATTCAAATTCCAGGTTTTGGAGAAACAGCTGGAGAACTCACGTATAGAGTGACACTTTCTCCAGACTCGCCGGCCAGACAGTTAACGAACGGACGGTTTTCAAAAATAGTTTTGATGGTGTTTATGACGCTGGACTTTCCTGCTCCGATTGGACCATGCAGGAGGAAACGGAGCTCAGAGACGCCGTCACAGACCTGATAACTTCTCAGAGATCTCACCATCTCAGCTGAGCTGTCACCAAAATACAGAAAACAAACATTATTACTGTCAATGATAAAATCACAAATGTTAAACTAGAAATCAGAGAAGGTCCTACTGATAAAATTATAAATAATAATAAAATTAAAATCTGATGCACAATCAATGATAATAAATGATTACTGTGGACTTACTTTCGAGGTATTTCTCTCCATTTATTGATTGCTGTAAGAAATATTAACAAGCAGTTTATATATTTAATTTTATTGCAGTTTTAGATAAAATAATCAAATCCACAAGTTTTTTTACATATGAAACATGGACAGAATTAAGGTAAATAACAATAATGAGAGTTAAATTAAACTTAATGTTTCAAAAAGATTACTCATCAATTTTAATTTATTTCTAATTTTGCCAGTTTTTGCTTTAATTTTTTCGACCTGCTGCTGTAGCTGATATGTGTTTTGGTCCTGGAATCACTCTTCTTCTTCTGACTTGGCACTTTTTCACAGGGGGGGTGAGGCTTAGAAGAGGGTGTTCACCTGCACACTCTATTGGTCAGCTGGGAGTGACAGACCTTCTGAACACATAGCCACGCCCACCCAGAGCTGTGATCCGCCTTGCTGCATGGTCCTGATAACATACCAGGGTGTGTACTCAGAGAATGTGCTGAACAACTGACACACGTCCTTACAGACATCTATAACACCTCCCTGAGCCAAGCCATCGATCGCTCTTGCTTCAAGGCCTCCACTATCACAGTCACCAGCATCAACACCTAATGCCTACTGCCCTATAGCACTCACTCCCATCATGATGAAGTGCTTTAAAAAGCTGGTTTGAAATCACATAACATCCAGACCCCCAACATCACTTGACCCACTCCAGTTTGCATACCGCCCTGACCGCTCCACTGATGATGCCATATCAGCAGCACTTGACCTGAGTCTGACCCCTCTGGAGAATAAGAACATTCATGTGCGGATGCTCCTCACTGACTTCACCTTCGCCTTCAACACAGTCATCTCCATGCACTTGGTAAGTAAAGTCGGCTCATTAGGCATCGACACCCCACTGTGCAACCGGTTACTGGACTTCCTCACGGACAGACCCCAGACAGTACGAGTTGGAAGAAAAACCTCTAAAACCACCATCATGAACACTGGAGTTCCTCAGGGCTGTGTGCTGAGGCCTCTGCTGTTCACTCTGATGACTCGTGACTGCTGTAAAGAACCACATATATGAAAAATTCCAATCTGGATTCAGGCCACATCACAGCACTGAGACAGCTCTAGTTAAGATAACAAATGATCTTCTTGCCTCTGATCAAGGCTACATATCCCTGTTGGTGCTACTTGACCTCAGTGCAGCTTTCGATACGATAGACCACAATATTCTCCTAGAAAGGTTAGAAAACATGGTTGGAATCACAGGGACCGCCCTATCGTGGTTCAACTCTTACTTAACGGAACGTTATCAGTTCGTAAAGGTAAATGATTCATCTTCCAATTATTCACAAGTAAGATTTGGAATTCCGCAAGGCTCTATTTTAGGACCATTATTATTTACATTATACATGTTACCGTTAGGCACAGTTATAAGTAGCCATGGCATTAACTTTCACTGTTACGCAGACGATACGCAATTATACATATCAGCCAAGCCTGATGACAAATACAGGTTAAAGAAAATAGAGGACTGTGTAAAAGATGTGAAAGGCTGGATGTTGGAGGTTCTCCTTCTGGGTCCAAAAGTGGCAAGAAATAAATTATCAGATTTAACTTTAAATCTTGCTGACTTTCCAGTTATACCTGGTTCAGCAGCAAAAAATCTTGGTGTCATAATTGATCCAGATTTATCATTTGATCAACACATAGGCAGCATCACTAGGACAGCTTTTTTACATCTTCGCAACATCGCCAGAATAAGAAATGCCTTATCGCTGCACGATGCAGAAACATTAGTACATGCCTTTATTACTTCAAGGCTAGATTACTGTAACGCACTACTGTCAGGATGCACCAGCAGGAATTTAAGTAAACTTCAACTAGTTCAAAATGCTGCAGCCAGGGTTCTCACTAAAACTAGAACATCTGATCATATCAGTCCAGTTCTATCATCACTTCACTGGCTGCCTGTTAAATTTCGTATAGATTACAAAATTCTTTTATTGACGTATAAAGCCCTACATGGGCTCCTGAGTACCTGCAAGACCTTATTTCCCATTACGAGCCACCACGATTACTCAGATCACAGAGTGCTGGCTTTTTAATAGTTCCCAGAAGCCCCCAAACTCTGGAATGATCTTCCAGAAAATGTTCGGGACTCAGACTCAGTCGCAATCTTCAAATCTAGGCTGAAAACTCACTTGTTTAGTTTAGCTTTTGGTAGTTAATGTCCCCCCTTAGATAAAGGCAGCAGATCCAGGGGTCCATGGACGCAGGGAATTATAGTAAACTGAGACGCTGGTGCTGTCGTCCCGCCGCTTGTACTCGATCACTCAGGTTTGTGGACGGTGGAGCGGAGGGATGCCAGATTGTTTCAGGGCGCTCCTGTATCTGTGTGTCCTTTTGGTTCTCTCCTTTTAGTTAAGCTGTTATAGTCAGATCTGCCAGAGTCGTTAGCCACACTCTGGAAATGTTTTACTTATTATTATACATACACCCATACAGAACTAAACTAACTCCATCTCCCTACCTTTTCCCGAGTAAACGACTGCCCACCTGTCCGGCCGGACACTGATGGATGATTGTCTGTCGAGCTCTCCTGCTACCTGCTTCAGACCAGTTGCCCATGCCCCAGCTACCGCCACCTGCCTTGGACTAGCTGCCCACCCGACACTGAAGTTTTCATGGACTGTTAATACTACTACTACTATTAATATTAGTAGTATAATAATTTTGTAGGTAGTTTGACCAGAGGAGGATGGGTCCCCCCATGTGAGCCTTGGTTCCTCCCAAGGTTTCTTCCTCAGCTCTGAGGGAGTTTTTCCTTGCCACTGTTGCCCCTGGCTCGCTCACCTGCAGGATTTACATTTCATGTTAAAACTTTGTCTTTAATGGATTTCTGTGAAGCTGCTTTGTGACAACATCAGGTGTAAAAAGCGCTACACAAATAAATCTGACTTGACTTGACTGTGCCAAGTACAACTCGAACCACATTATTAAGTTCGCAAATGATACAATGGTGGTGGGTCTCATCAGCAACGATGACAACTCAGCCTACAGAGAAGACGTGAAGACCAGAGAAGACCAGAACTCGTCATCTGGTGTGACAAGAACAACCTGTCACTGAACGTTGACAAGACAAAGGAAGTTATTCCAGAGGAAGCACATGGTGCATATTCCATTTACAATCCATGGTAACGCTGTGGAGTCAACCTGTCAGTGAGAAGCACCAAGTTTTTGGGAGTGCACATCACGGATGACCTGACATGGACTACACACACCACCTCCCTTGTCAAGAGAGCACAGCAGCGCCTTCACTTTCTACAATGGATGAGAAGAGCAAACCTCCCCCCTCCTATCCTCATAAGTTTCTACAGAGGCACTATAGAGAACACCCTGACCAGCAGCCTCCCAGTGTGGTACGGCAGCTGCACCACCACAGACCAGAAGTCACTCCAGAGAACGGTGAGGACAGCAGAGAGAATCATTTCCACCCATACAAGATCTCTACCTGTCACGCTGCCTCAGCAGAGCCACAAAGAGAGTGAGAGACTCCACCCACCCTGCCCATGGACTGTACAGCCTTCTTCAGACCCCACCCACCCTGCCCATGGACTGTTCAGCCTTCTGCAGACCCCACCCACCCTGCCCATGGACTGTTCAGCCTTCTGCCCTCTGGTAAAAGCTACTGCAGTATGCGGTGCAGACCGCCAGACTCAGCTGGAGCTTCTTCCCACAGGCCATCAGACTAATCAACTCCCTCTAACGACACACAACACACTGGCCTATCAGGTTTTGCGTGTTCCACTTCAATAAGAGTGAATCCGTCATAACTGTGCAGTGTGATTTTCGTGGGCAGTGAAGCTCCAACAGCTCAGAGCGTTCGTCGTTGGTTCCACAACACTGGATGATCTCCGAAATCGCACTGAAAGAGCCGTGAGTGCAGCGACACCCGACATGATCAATCCAGTATGGGATGAGTTTGACTGTGGTGTTGATGTTGTCTGTACAGCTGGAGGAGGTTCAGACTGAGACCTTCTACAATTACATAATAAACTTTATGCTCATTTAAACCATTTACAGTTCACTGCACTGATCTGTAATGATTTACAGGTGAAATAATTCATTGTGAAGTCGGCTGAATCTTTTTGAATCACCCTGTATATTTTGCACATTGGAGTTGGAAAAACACAATCTTGTTCAGCTGTTCACTCCTTGTTGCACAGTCTGAATGATAGTAAAGTTCACTTTGACTTTGACTTTAATGTAGGGTCGCTCTGACTTGTCCGACCTCATGAGTAACTGTCATATTTACTGATGTGACACATGCTCAGGGTTTTCTGTCAAGCTGTGTGAAATTTAAACTTTGCTGCTGAACAGAGCTGTAATAGCTTTCAGGTTTGTAGCTGTAAGAGCTGACTAGCTTTGTAGCTTTGTTCATTCATAAACATCTAAGTTCATGTTCTTCAATACCCAAAATAACAGTTATATTGTTTTATACAGGTCAGCACTGGACCCATAAACATATGTTACATTACCAATTTTAAAGGATTATGATAAACATTGCCAATAATGTCAGGCATGGGCAACATTTGGCGGGGAGGATAAGGGGGCAGCAGAATTTTCTGCTGTGAATTTCCTGATTTAGACCTGCTGCATATTTGAATCTCGGATTTTAAGGAGCTGAGGAGTTTTGAATATAATAATAATAAATAGTAATAAATTCACTGGTCATTCAGAACTCTTACCGACGGTCACCATGGCAGAGCAGGACACGCTGCCCAGCTTGTTGGACACTTCGACAGTGTAACTCCCTTCATCAACATCCTCGACCCTCTGGATCTCCAAGCAGCACAGTTTACCAATTAGTCTGATTTTGTGTTTTCCTTCCACACAGTCCAGTTTTTGGCTGTTCTTCTTCCACATTACCGTCACTTGTGTGGTGTTTACTTCACAGCGAAGAATGACGTTAGATCCAGCTTCCACTTGTTTGTCATTCAAAACTGTGACAAATTCTATTAGAAACACAAGAAAGAGATTTTTTAGAGAAAAAAACAAGATTAGATACACTGACAAATCAGTGTGATCAATTATTAATCTCAGCGTTACTGAGCTCTGCTAAAGCCTGAGTAGACTGATAAATCAATGTGATCAGTTATTAATCTCAGCGTTACTGAGCTCTGCTAAAGCCTGAGTAGACTGATAAATCAATGTGATCGGTTATTAATCTCAGCGTTACTGAGCTCTGCTAAAGCCTGAGTAGACTGATAAATCAATGTGATCGGTTATTAATCTCAGCGTTACTGAGCTCTGCTAAAGCCTGAGTAGACTGATAAATCAATGTGATCGGTTATTAATCTCAGTGTTACTGAGCTCTGCTAAAGCCTGAGTAGACTGATAAATCAATGTGATCGGTTATTAATCTCAGTGTTACTGAGCTCTGCTAAAGCCTGAGTCGACTGATAAATCAATGTGATGATCAGTTATTAATCTCAGCGTTACTGAGCTCTGCTAAAGCCTGAGTAAACTGATAAATCAATGTGATCGGTTATTAATCTCAGTGTTACTGAGCTCTGCTAAAGCCTGAGTAGACTGATAAATCAATGTGATCGGTTATTAATCTCAGTGTTACTGAGCTCTGCTAAAGCCTGAGTCGACTGATAAATCAATGTGATGATCAGTTATTAATCTCTGTGTTACTGAGCTCTGCTAAAGCCTGAGTAGACTGATAAATCAATGTGATCAGTTATTAATCTCAGTGTTACTGAGCTCTGCTAAAGCCTGAGTAGACTGATAAATCAATGTGATCAGTTATTAATCTCAGTGTTACTGAGCTCTGCTAAAGCCTGAGTAGACTGATAAATCAATGTGATCGGTTATTAATCTCAGTGTTACTGAGCTCTGCTAAAGCCTGAGTAGACTGATAAATCAATGTGATCAGTTATTAATCTCAGTGTTACTGAGCTCTGCTAAAGCCTGAGTAGACTGATAAATCAATGTGATCGGTTATTAATCTCAGCGTTACTGAGCTCTTTTGAGAGATGATCAAACAACTAATTTGCTCAGTAGTGGACGTGTTTGTGAGTGATAAGTTTAGCATTAATGGTGTACTTGAGCAAAAAAATAGAATTTAAATTAAAAGATAAGCACATTTTCCATGAAAAATATTAATATAAGAATTCCATGAAGACATCTGCCAACCAGTAACAGCAAGATTACAGTAGAGTTTTTCCATTTATTTTATCAGTATGTATTTTAAATGTATACTGAATATGTTACTTATTTTACTTATTTTATTTTACGTATTGTAATGGAATATGTTACTGAATACATTTGGTTTAGTATATTCAGTATTCAGCCATCACTACATATTTTTACTACTAAATATTTTGCTCAACTCTGTCCACTTATAGTCCTGTTTACTTGTACACCTGTGGTGTGATTGAGCTACAGTGTGAAGCCCCATTCAGGACGCAAAGTTTACACGTGTAAGAGTTTCCCTCCATTTAAAAACATCAGCATTTTTCCTTTAAGTTAAATATCTCATGAAGTCTATTATACAATGGTTCACATGAGGAACATCTCCTCTCCACAAACAAAAATGTGGCCTTTTCACCTTCTATAACTTGTTTTTTGGTGTCATAAAGCGGTCATCACAGGCATGGTACTACCAAAAAAAACCAAAAAACAACAACAAACCTGAGAGTCAGTTAGATCATTCTAGATGTTTACATCAAAATCTATCTCAAATTGTCCAGCCAATATCATCCTGGACCACATGTTTTAATCAGGCTAAGTTTAGGTAAACTAAGACCTTAATCTGACCATGACATTGACAGTGAACTGAATCATAGTCATATCATCATATTTCAGTATTCAAAAGAAAAAACTGCCTAAGAGCATCAGAGCATAAGAAAGACTCACTAAGAGAAACAATTATTAACTTGTATAATGAGAACAGTAGAGGTCCTAGAACAGAACCTTGTGGAACACCATATTTTACTTCTGTTTGAATAGCTGATTCACCATTTACATTCACAAACAGATATGGAGTTATGCAAATGTACACATGAGTGTCATCAGCATATAGATGATAGCTGAGCTATTCTGATAATATGACAGATTGGAAGCATAAAGACTCTAAATTACAATGGCCCAAGTACTGAGCACTGTGGAACGACATCTGTAACAGTCCCATTAAATCTCTCAAGCTGCTTTTGATTACTTGAATAAGACTGAAACCAAGACAATGCAAGACCACTAACATCCACAAGAGTGTGCAAGCATTCCAACAAAGTCCCCTGCACTCTATCTAATGTAGCAGTGAGCTCCTGCAGAATGAGATCACTTAAACAACCAATAAGCATTGCCAAGAGGGTCACTAATGACCCTGACATGCAGACCAGATTGAAAAGGGTCTGAAAGCTTATGCGATGAAAGATGAACAAACAACACACTCCAGTACTTTGTTTAGGATTATTAGTGCTAAGACTGTAGTTTAGTAGCTTATAGAAATGGGTGTAATAGAACTGGAACATAACCTGAGGCTACAGAATGAAGAACATGAGTAATGAGCTGGCAGATAAACCTGATTTGAGAAGAGCAGAGGGAAGAGGGTCGAGGCAGCAAGCAGTGAAGCACAGACCACTGAAATCTAAACAGTCTCCGACTCACTGACCAACCAAAAGGCACAATGTAAAAGCAAATATCTGCCAATAGAGATAAGATTTTGATATCGTGCATCCTTAGTGTTTTGTTTGTATGCTGTAATTTTTCTGACCATCGTTTTAGACTAAGTTCTGTCATTTTTCGATTTCATGGCCATTACAGGTGCCTTTGTACTTTCCAGAAGGGCTACACAGCATTTTTTAATTGATCAGCTTACTCGTTGTTTGGGGGGTCTATAAAGAGGGTGAACTGCACAGAACAAAATTCTGGGGTTATTTCTTATTTCAGACTCAGTGCCGTTCTGTACTGAGACAGATGGTGGACAAACATACCAGTGCACACAACCAGTCCTGTTTTTCTGTATTGTCATTCCAGTCGCTGCCCTTCCACCTTGAAAAACACAACTCAGCAGTGAACCAGGAAGCAGCGATAACAGCCCCGGCAACGTCCGGAGAGGATGCGGAGTGCCTGAAGAGAAGGTTTCACAAAATCTGAAACCGCCAAAGCAACATAATGATGAAAGGACACGAGTTCCAACTGAGAAATCAGAAACAAGGTGAGAGTATTGAATCATTCATCAGTGATTTGAGGATCAAAGCTGAAAGTTGCCATTTTGGAGATTTGCCTGACGAATGTATGTATGTACGAATGTAATGCGACCAGATTGTGTGTGGAGTTACCAGTGACTCTTCAAGAAAGCCTCTGTTGAGAGATAGCAGGTTAACGCTTGCCAAAGCTATTTCAATCTGTTGCATTCACGAAATGATGGAGGAAAACAGCAAGACGCTAACCACACAAGTCACCAGTGCTGATGCAGTGAGGCCAGTTTCAAACAGAAAGCACCAGTCAAAACCCCAGTCATTCCTCAGACCATCACAAATTGCAGTAATTGTGAAAAAAGTCATGCAGTTAAATGTGAAAATTGTCCAGCGATTGGACAACAATGCCATAATTACAAAAAACAAACAACCATTATAAGAGTTGCTGCAAGTGTAAACCACGAAATCAAAGAAATTCAAAGAGAAAGGCTTTACATGAGTCTATGCATGAGCTAGGGTGGATCAGCACACAGCATGTGAAGGTGGAACGGTCTATGTTGATGGTGTCGAGGTTGACAGTTGTGTTGACTGTGTCAGTTCTAAAGCCAATAAGAGAGATGGAGGATTTGTTACAGCACATGTAAATGGAAAACTCACTGAAATGAAAGTCGACACTGTAGATCATTTGGCTAAATGATTATCTTGTTTGTTCATTATGGGCCACCATACATACATGTGGTTTGCATCTAGGCAAATCAGAGTGCTCGGGTTTCTTCTGTGTAAGTCCGGTCATGGTAGTAGAGCCATGGAACGTCAGCCTTACTAACTGGGTTTCCTTTCTTTTCTTTGTTCCTGAATAAACCTGCGGGTTGTTACAAATTAGTGTGGTCCTTGACTCACACACGAGCGAACCAGTTTCTACAGACACAGAAGCAAAATGACTTTCACACGAGTAACTAAGGGCGAGAACTTCGTAAAGCAGAAAAAACTGCATATCTTCTCTCTTATGGAGGCAGCCACATCCTTCCTGTTGCAGAGCCGCTCCCCCAGTGGCTCCACACAAAGGACCCAGACTCCCAGAACACCGGCCTCACCAGAGCCAAACGACATGTAGTCACAACACAGATCCAAGCCCACAGCACATTTCCCCACTGAGAACAGCAATGCGCTCTACACAACACGCTCAGGCCGCACCAGCAGACCAAACCCGAAATATACGCAGTAAAATATGA